CCACTTTATAACCCGACTAGTCATGGTGTCTCCATACCTCCAGAGTCAGCCATGTGGTAGGTTTAGGGTTCAATATTGGCACTATGAGGGCTGCCCTCAGCATGTTGGGGTCACCCATCCATCCTGTAAACCCTTCAGTCACATTATTGGTAGAATCCCGTCACCTGACGTGCTTAGTGAGCCGTCAGCTGTGCTGCCTCTGCCTTGCCTGACACGTTCAGATCTGTCCCGTCTCTTAGTACACAACCGCGACCAGCCACGCAGTACTAGGTACGGGGGGGGGGGGTTAGAAAGCAAGTTGCTGGAAAGACCTTCTTGTGAATTTCAATGCCAAAGATAGAATCCTAACTGACAGTAGGCATGTGTGCAGGCAGAAGAAGGCAGCGCCTGAAATGGAGGACAAATGTCGGGGAGCTCTGTCCCCCGATACATGAAATCCTCACCCTGCAGGATAGGATCCATGTGAATCAGTGATGACTATGGAGGAATAAATTCTGTGAAGATTCCACCTTGAAGCAGCTCTGGTACCACTGGACTCAGATGGGGGTATCTGTACTCAGCCATGGCAAGCTGCTGGTCTTTTATACTTTGAGGCTACATGCACGTGGCAGCTTCACCGTGCACGTGGCAGCTTCACCGTGCACGTGGCAGCTTCACCGTGCACGTGGCAGCTTCACCGTGCACGTGGCAGCTTCACCGTGCACATGGCAGCTTCACCGTGCACATGGCAGCTTCACCCGCCACCATCAATTCTAGGAGGTTCAGGCGGAGCGCCCAGAACCGCAGCCAGACATCAGCGACTGAAGTAGGCAGCAGCTGGACGTTTAGGGGACCTATGCCTCAAACCAGAATTCCTGTGTCCAGGGCCTGCGTCTCCCAACGCACATGATACTTTCTGTGAGTGCGGCTCGGTGCGGCGTCCATCTGCCCCGTATTTCAGCCTGTCGTTCATTGTATTTCCAGGCTGCAGGCAGTAGGACTGCATGTTGGACCTGTGTCTCCCAGGCTCTTGAGAACCCCAGAATTTGAGGCTGTCGGGTCCCCTGTCATGCATGAGGCCTGACTGGGAGGGTTGTGAGACCATAAAATGGTCCCGAAAGTGCCAGCCATGAGCTCACGGTATAGTGCCCCCTTGTGATTACACTTGGTACTACTGCTGCCCTCCTTTCATCTCTGGGTGATGAACTTTCTGGTAGGCGGGGCTTCTCTACTCCTCTCTATGGATCCCATTACAGCATTGCGGATGATTTCCTGGCCTGGGGTGTGTGGTGATGGTCTCGTCTAACCTTTATAAGACACTAATGTTCATTGGAATCGACAACTAAAACTTGCTATTGTACTCTAATCTCAGCTAATTCTGATTGGTTGCTGCGAGGGACGGCACATGTTCAGCAGGAGTGCTACACCATTGTTTACAGATCACAAGTTTATTATTGCTGGAACATGTAGGCTGCCATTCCTGAGCTCTTCTGTTAGATGCCGGGCTTTTATCCTGATTCATGGGATTTGGTACTTATTGCATCACCACTCTGGAGGAAGTATGGAAATCGCTAGTTCTTTTGCCTTTGCTGTGGTTGTGAGTGACCTATATTCGGGGTCTCTTCTCCTGAGCCCTGCCAGGCCTGTTGTCTCTTCTCCTGATCCCCGCCAGGCCCGTGGTCTCTTCTCCTGATCCCCGCCAGGCCCGTGGTCTCTTCTCCTGATCCCCGCCAGGCCTGTTGTCTCTTCTCCTGATCCCCGCCAGGCCCGTGGTCTCTTCTCCTGAGCCCCGCCAGGCCCGTTGTCTCTTCTCCTGATCCCTGCCAGGCCTGTTGTCTCTTCTGATCCCTGCCAGGCCCGTGGTCTCTTCTCCTGAGCCCCGCCAGGCTCGTGGTCTATTCTCCTGAGCCCCGCCAGGCCCGTGGTCTCTTCTCCTGAGCCCCGCCAGGCCCGTGGTCTCTTCTCCTGAGCCCCGCCAGGCCCGTGGTCTCTTCTCCTGAGCCCCGCCAGGCCCGTGGTCTCTTCTCCTGAGCCCCGCCAGGCCCGTGGTCTCTTCTCCTGAGCCCCGCCAGGCCTGTTGTCTCTTCTCCTGATCCCTGCCAGGCCTGTTGTCTCTTCTCCTGATCCCTGCCAGGCCTGTTGTCTTTCTGATCCTCCTGATCCCTGCCAGGCCCGTGGTCTCTTCTGAGCCCCGCCAGGCCCGTGGTCTCTTCTCCTGAGCCCCGCCAGGCCCGTGGCCTCTTCTCCTGAGCCCCGCCAGGCCAGTGGCCTCTTCTCCTTAGCCCCGCCAGGCCCGTGGCCTCTTCTCCTGAGCCCCGCCAGGCCCGTGGCCTTCTCTCCTGAGCCCCGCCAGGCCCGTGGCCTCTTCTCCTGAGCCCCGCCAGGCCCGTGGCCTCTTCTCCTGAGCCCCGCCAGGCCCGTGGCCTCTTCTCCTGAGCCCCGCCAGGCCCGTGGCCTCTTCTCTCTGCTTACTTGCATTGGTCAGCCCTGCAGAAGGGGATGCAGATCCTTTAAATGTCTTTCAGTAAATGATCTGACTTGATCAGAGGTGGATGCTTATCCCAGTCTCCTGTTCACCTTTGTACCTCATACAATGGAGCGTTCCGGACTGCACATTCCCTGGGACTTGACCTGGCCTCCTGGGTCGCCCATTTTTATTTTCGATCGATGGCACCGGATCCTTTTCTGCTTCTCATTGCAGACAGCCAGGTAACTAGCATTGTCAGGAGTTCAGCAATGGAAGCCGACTTGTTTCTCTCAGAACGGATGATCTTTTTCTTGCCGGTACATTTATCCTCGGCCTCATTTGTAGCGGTCCCCATACAGAGCTGTGTGGTGTGTGTCTCCATGCTTTGTGCTGTGGTGGTCCCCATACAGAGCTTTGTGCTGTGGGCGGTCCCCATACAGAGCTTGTGTGCTGTGTGGTCCCCATACAGAGCTTTGTGCTGAGGCGGTCCCCATACAGAGCTGTGTGCTGTGGCGGTCCCCATACAGAGCTTTGTGCTGTGGCGGTCCCCATACAGAGCTGTGTGGTGTGGCGGTCCCCATACAGAGCTGTGTGTGTGGTGGTCCCCATACAGAGCTGTGTGGTGTGTGGTCCCCATACAGAGCTGTGTGGTGTGGTGGTCCCCATACAGAGCTGTGTGCTGTGGTGGTCCCCATACAGAGCTTTGTGCTGTGGTGGTCCCCATACAGAGCTGTGTGGTGTGGTGGTCCCCATACAGAGCTTTTGTGCTGAGGTGGTCCCCATACAGAGCTTTGTGCTGTGGTGGTCCCCACACAGAGCTTTGTGCTGTGGTGGTCCCCATACAGAGCTTTGTGCTGAGGTGGTCCCCATACAGAGCTGTGTGGTGGGCGGTCCCCATACAGAGCTGTGTGGTGTGGCGGTCCCCCATACAGAGGCTTTGTGTGCTGAGGTGGTCCCCATACAGAGCTGTGTGCTGTGGTGGTCCCCATACAGAGCTGTGTGCTGTGGCGGTCCCCATACAGAGCTTTGTGCTGTGGTGGTCCCCATACAGAGCTTTGTGCTGTGGCGGTCCCCATACAGAGCTGTGTGGTGTAGGGCGGTCCCCATACAGAGCTTTTGTGGTGAGGTGGTCCCCCATACAGAGCTGTGTGCTGTGGTGGTCCCCATACAGAGCTTTGTGCTGTGGTGGTCCCCATACAGAGCTGTGTGCTGTGGTGGTCCCCATACAGAGCTGTGTGCTGTGCATTTTGTGCGGTGGTCCCCATACAGAGCTGTGTGCTGTGTGTGGTGGTCCCCATACAGAGCTTTGTGCTGTGGTGGTCCCCATACAGAGCTGTGTGCTGAGGCGGTCCCCATACAGAGCTGTGTGCTGAGGTGGTCCCCATACAGAGCTGTGTGCTGTGGTGGTCCCCATACAGAGCTTTGTGCTGTGGTGGTCCCCATACAGAGCTTTGTGCTGTGGCGGTCCCCATACAGAGCTTTGTGGTGAGGTGGTCCCCATACAGAGCTTTGTGGTGAGGTCGGTCCCCATACAGAGCTTTGTGCTGTGGCGGTCCCCATACAGAGCTTTGTGGTGAGGTGGTCCCCATACAGAGCTTTGTGGTGAGGTCCCCATACAGAGCTTTGTCTACGAACGTGTGCTGTGATGTGTGTCCCCATACAGAGCTGTGTGCTGTGGCGGTCCCCATACAGAGCTGTGTGCTGTGGCGGTCCCCATACAGAGCTGTGTGCTGTGGTGGTCCCCATACAGAGCTTGTGCTGTGGTGGTCCCCATACAGAGCTTTGTGCTGAGGGCGGTCCCCCATACAGAGCTTTGTGGTGAGGTGGTCCCCATACAGAGCTTTGTGGTGAGGTGGTCCCCATACAGAGCTTTGTGTGAGGTGGTCCCCATACAGAGCTTGTGTGCTGAGGTGGTCCCCATACAGAGCTGTGTGCTGTGGTGGTCCCCATACAGAGCTTTGTGGTGAGGTGGTCCCCATACAGAGCTTTGTGCTGTGGTGGTCCCCATACAGAGCTTTGTGCTGATATAAGAGGTGGTCCCCATACAGAGCTTTGTGCTGAGGCGGTCCCCATACAGAGCTTTGTGGTGAGGTGGTCCCCATACAGAGCTTTGTGCTGTGGTGGTCCCCATACAGAGCTTTGTGCTGTGGTGGTCCCCATACAGAGCTTTGTGCTGTGGTGGTCCCCATACAGAGCTTTGTGCTGTGGTGGTCCCCATACAGAGCTTTGTGGTGAGGTGGTCCCCATACAGAGCTTTGTGCTGTGGTGGTCCCCCCATACAGAGTGTCCCCATTTGTGCTGTGGTGGTCCCCATACAGAGCTTTGTGCTGTGGTGGTCCCCATACAGAGCTTTGTGGTGGGGTGGTCCCCATACAGAGCTTTGTGTGCTGAGGCGGTCCCCATACAGAGCTTTGTGTGAGGTGGTCCCCATACAGAGCTTTGTGCTGTGGTGGTCCCCATACAGAGCTTTGTGCTGTGGTGGTCCCCATACAGAGCTTTGTGCTGTGGTGGTCCCCATACAGAGCTTTGTGCTGTGGTGGTCCCCATACAGAGCTTTGTGGTGAGGTGGTCCCCATACAGAGCTTTGTGGTGAGGTGGTCCCCATACAGAGCTTTGTGGTGTGGGCGGTCCCCATACAGAGCTTTGTGCTGTGGCGGTCCCCATACAGAGCTTTGTGGTGAGGTGGTCCCCATACAGAGCTTTGTGCTGTGGTGGTCCCCATACAGAGCTTTGTGTGTGAGGTGGTCCCCATACAGAGCTTTGTGCTGTGGTGGTCCCCATACAGAGCTTTGTGCTGTGGTGGTCCCCATACAGAGCTGTGTGCTGTGGTGGTCATCAGCCAGATTGTGTTTTGTATGAGGCTGGGAAACGAACGTCGGAATAGAAGAGGGATCTGTGGTTTGCTGTAGACGACTCCCACATGTTCAGTACCTGGTGTGTGATGGGGATGTGTACAGTCCTTGTGCAGGTGGAAATCTGGGTGAAATGTGCTCAGCACAAGGACATGTCAGGTCCTACCCCTGCGGAGGTTCTTACAGGTCCCCGTCGTACCCCTGCGGAGGTTCCTATAGGTCCCCGTCGTACCCCTGCGGAGGTTTACAGGTCCCCGTCGTACCCCTGCAGAGGTTCCTATAGGTCCCCGTCGTACCCCTGCGGGGGTTCCTATAGGTCCCCGTCGTACCCCTGCGGGGGTTCCTATAGGTCCCCGTCGTACCCCTGCGGAGGTTCCTATAGGTCCCCGTCGTACCCCTGCGGGGGTTCCTATAGGTCCCCGTCGTACCCTGCGGAGGTTCTTACAGGTCCCCGTCGTACCCCCCGCGGAGGTTCTTGGAGGTCCCCAATATCCACTTCCTGCATTGCTGCACGTCGCACCCCAGAGGTGAAGGGTTGGCGGTTTCTGGCCGGTTGAACATTTGTACGGCAAATGAGATTCATCTACACGTCTCATGTCTGATATAACGGAGGAGATTCATCTACACGTCTCATGTCTGATATAACGGAGGAGATTCATCTACACGTCTCATGTCTGATATAACGGAGGAGATTCATCTACACGTCTCATGTCTGATATACCGGAGGAGATTCATCTACACGTCTCATGTCTGTGATATACCGGAGGAGATTCATCTACACGTCTCATGTCTGATATAACGGAGGAGATTCATCTACACGTCTCATGTCTGATATACCGGAGGGAGATTCATCTACACGTCTCACGTCTGTGATATAACGGAGGAGATTCATCTACACGTCTCATGTCTGATATAACGGAGGAGATTCATCTACACGTCTCATGTCTGATATACCGGAGGAGATTCATCTACACGTCTCACGTCTGTGATATAACGGAGGAGATTCATCTACACGTCTCATGTCTGTGATATACCGGAGGAGATTCATCTACACGTATCCCTGCGGAGATTCTTACAGGTCCCCGTCGTACCCCTGCGGAGGGTTCCTATAGGTCCCCGTCGTACCCCTGCGGAGGTTCCTATAGGTCCCCGTCGTACCCCTGCGGAGGTTCCTATAGGTCCCCGTCGTACCCCTGCGGAGGTTCCTATAGGTCCCCGTCGTACCCCTGCGGAGGTTCCTATAGGTCCCCGTCGTACCCCTGCGGAGGTTCCTATAGGTCCCCCTGCGGAGGTTCCTATAGGTCCCCGTCGTACCCCTGCGGAGGTTCTTACAGGTCCCCGTCGTACCCCTGCGGAGGTTCCTATAGGTCCCCGTCGTACCCCTGCGGAGGTTCTTACAGGTCCCCGTCGTACCCCTGCGGAGGTTCGTGCAGGTCCCCGTCGTACCCCTGCGGGGGTTCCTATAGGTCCCCATCATACCCCTGCGGAGGTTCTTACAGGTCCCCGTCGTACCCCTGTGGAGGTTCCTATAGGTCCCCGTCGTACCCCTGTGGAGGTTCCTATAGGTCCCCGTCGTACCCCTGCGGAGGTTCCTATAGGTCCCCGTCGTACCCCTGCGGAGGTTCTTGGAGGTCCCCGATATCCACTTCCTGCATTGCTGCACGTCGCACCCCAGAGGTGAAGGGTTGGCGTTTTCTGGCCGGTTGAACATTTGTACGGCAAATGAGATTCATCTACACGTCTCACGTCTGTGATATAACGGAGGAGATTCATCTACACGTCTCACGTCTGATGTAACGGAGGAGATTCATCTACACGTCTCATGTCTGTGATATAACGGAGGAGATTCATCTACACGTCTCATGTCTGTGATATAACGGAGGAGATTCATCTACACGTCTCATGTCTGTGATATAACGGAGGAGATTCATCTACACGTCTCATGTCTGTGATATAACGGAGGAGATTCATCTACACGTCTCATGTCTGTGATATAACGGAGGAGATTCATCTACACGTCTCACGTCTGTGATATAACGGAGGAGATTCATCTACACGTCTCACGTCTGTGATATAACGGAGGAGATTCATCTACACGTCTCATGTCTGTGATATAACGGAGGAGATTCATCTACACGTCTCATGTCTGTGATATACCGGAGGAGATTCATCTACACGTCTCATGTCTGTGATATAACGGAGGAGATTCATCTACACGTCTCATGTCTGTGATATACCGGAGGAGATTCATCTACACGTCTCATGTCTGTGATATACCGGAGGAGATTCGCCTACACGTCTCATGTCTGTGATATAACGGAAGGAGATTCATCTACACGTCTCATGTCTGTGATATAACGGAGGAGATTCATCTACACGTCTCATGTCTGTGATATAACGGAGGAGATTCATCTACACGTCTCACGTCTGGATATAACGGAGGAGATTCATCTACACGTCTCACGTCTGTGATATACCGGAGGAGATTCATCTACACGTCTCATGTCTGTGATATACCGGAGGAGATTCATCTACACGTCTCATGTCTGTGATATAACGGAGGAGATTCATCTACACGTCTCATGTCTGTGATATAACGGAGGAGATTCATCTACACGTCTCATGTCTGTGATATAACGGAGGAGATTCATCTATCTACACGTCTCATGTCTGTGATATAACGGAGGAGATTCATCTACACGTATCACGTCTGTGATATACCGGAGGAGATTCATCTACACGTCTCACGTCTGTGATATAACGGAGGAGATTCATCTACACGTCTCACGTCTGTGATATACCGGAGGAGATTCATCTACACGTATCACGTCTGTGATATAACGGAGGAGATTCATCTACACGTCTCATGTCTGTGATATACCGGAGGAGATTCATCTACACGTCTCACGTCTGATATAACGGAGGAGATTCATCTACACGTCTCACGTCTGATATAACGGAGGAGATTCATCTACACGTATGTTTATTTTGCAGCGTCGGGGTCGGTGTGTAATACTCGGGGCGGCTGGAGGAGGGGCGTTCTCGGTCTCTTCCTATGTTACACATCAAAGTATCAGAAGTCGCTGAGCGATCTCATTGTCTGCAGCGTTCGGTCTATGGAGACGTGCTGAGAGACGGGGGGCTGCCATTGTGGGGTCCCTGGCTGGCTTTGGTTTCACTGCTTTGTGACACCCTGAACATGGAGGCCAATCAGGGAGCTCAGAATGAAGTCTGACTCCTCCTCTTCATATTAAATCCAGATCAGTGCCTAAAAAAGTACTGAAGCCATTGGATCAGCATGACAGCCAGGGAACTAGTATTCCCAGGAGTGGTCAGCAGTGACATCCTCCATAATTCCTTGTGCAATGCTGGACCTGCCCTCGAATCTCCGTATAAAGGGCCGTGCTGGGCTGGCCGAGCATTGAATCCTACAAACCTGCAGCATCTGTGCTTTGTGAGGAGTCGGGCTGCCCCCCTACCTGGCTGCCTCCTGTGTGGCTGCCCCCCCACCTGGCTGCCTCCTGTGTGGCTGCCCCCCATCTGCCTCCTGTGTGGCTGCCCCCTACCTGGCTGCCTCCTGTCGTTCCCCCCCTACCTGGCTGCCTCCTGTGTGGCTGCCCCCCTATCTGGCTGCCTCCTGTGTGGCTGCCCCCCCACCTGGCTGCCTCCTGTGTGGCTGCCCCCTACCTGGCTGCCTCCTGCCCCCTACCTGGCTGCCTCCCTGCCCCCTACCTGGCTGCCTCCTGTGTGGCTGCTGCCCCCCTACCTGGCTGCCTCCTGTGTGGCTGCCCCCCTACCTGGCTGCCTCCTGTGTGGCTTCCCCCTAACTTGGCTGCCTCCCTGCCCCCTACCTGGCTGCCTCCTGTGTGGCTGCCCCCCTACCTGGCTGCCTCCTGTGTGGCTGCCCCCCTATCTGCCCCCCTATCTGGCTGCCTCCTGTGTGGCTGCCCCCCTATCTACCTCCTGTGTGGCTGCCCCCCTATCTACCTCCTGTGTGGCTGCCCCCCTATCTACCTCCTGTGTGGCTGCCCCCCTATCTGGCTGCCTCCTGTGTGGCTGCCCCCCCTATCTGCCCCCCTATCTGGCTGCCTCCTGTGTGGCTGCCCCCCTATCTGGCTGCCTCCTGTGTGGCTGCCCCCCCTATCTGCCCCCTCTGCCTCCTGTGTGGCTGCCCCCCTATCTGGCTGCCTCCTGTGTGGCTGCCCCCCCCCCTATCTGGCTGCCTCCTATCTGGCTGCCCCCCTATCTGGCTGCCTCCTGTGTGGCTGCCCCCCTATCTGGCTGCCTCCTGTGTGGCTGCCCCCCTATCTGGCTGCCTCCTGTGTGGCTGCCCCCCTATCTGGCTGCCTCCTATCTGGCTGCCCCCCTATCTGGCTGCCTCCTGTGTGGCTGCCCCCCTATCTGGCTGCCCCCCAGATCTTCACTGCTTCTTGCTCTCCTATTTACGCTCGAGTCATTTATTGTCAGAAGCAATATCTTCCCTGAAGCAAATGCTGATCTTGGCTCCCTCTGGTGCTGCTTACATGGCTGAATGATATGGTTGTAGAGGGGCATTCTGTGCAGGATCCCAGCCGACCCATTACTCCCAAACCATTCCGATATTTTATACACAGAAGCCCGCAGAGCATTGCACCGCAGATCATTGGCTGAGTGGATGGCGGGTACAATGCCAGGGTCCTGCACTCCTCCTCCAGCTCCCTTCGGAGCTTTCAGGTTTAGAGCTGCAGGAAGTGTCAATGGGCTGTGAGAACGCCGATCTCCACACACATTTTCACTGAGAACTACCAGTCCATGTTCTAGTAACAATGTTCCGGTACATGTCCCCCCCCCCCCCCCCCCCAATAACAATGTTCCGGTACATGTCCCCCCCCCCCCCCCCCCCCCCCCCCCCAATAACAATGTTCCGGTACATGTCCCCCCCCCCCCCCCCAATAACAATGTTCTGGTACATGTTACCCCCCCCAATAACAATGTTACGGTACATGTTACCCCCCCAATAACAATGTTCCGGTACATGTTACCCCCCCCAATAACTATGTTACGGTACATGTTCCCCCCAATTACAGGTATAGCCTGTAACATGTTGAAAGGTGGAGTTGGCCTTTAGTTCATCCCTGCAGGGCTGCTGACACCTTTATGTTCAGCCCATTGTGAAGGGAATGTCCACCCGGACGTCTTGTCATTGTGTTGGTTCTGGGGAATCCTTCCTTGGGGGGGGGGGGGGGGGGGGGCATTGTGTTCTCAGGACCTGACCTCTCTACACCGGGTTCTCAGGACCTGACCTCTCTACACCGGGTTCAGCTATGGCTAAAGGATCTCCTTCACCTTGTGGAAAGAGAAGTCCTGGAAGTCGCGCACATCTCTGTATGACGGCCTTAGCCCGGGCTCTGACCAGGCCACGCCCCCAACATGTTTCACTCCACCCACAGAGCTTAGGGTCATAGTTCCCCCTTGGGCGGAGTGCGTTGGGGTCCTGGCCTGGTTGGTGCACCTTCCAGAGATGAGCGACTTCCAGGACTTTTCCATTAGAAGTGTAGAGCTGGGACGAGTTCTGTCCTTGTGTGCGGCCTTAGCCCGGGCTCTGACCAGGCCACACCCCCAACATGTTTCACTCCACCCACAGAGCTTAGGGTCATAGTTCCCCCTTGGGCGGACTGCGTTGGGGTCCTGGCCTGGTTGGTGCACCTTCCAGAGATGAGCGACTTCCAGGACTTTTCCATTAGAAGTGTAGAGCTGGGACGAGTTCTGTCCTTGTGTGCGGCCTTAGCCCGGGCTCTGACCAGGCCACACCCCCAACATGTTTCACTCCACCCACAGAGCTTAGGGTCATAGTTCCCCCTTGGGCGGACTGCGTTGGGGTCCTGGCCTGGTTGGTGCACCTTCCAGAGATGAGCGACTTCCAGGACTTTTCCATTAGAAGTGTAGAGCTGGGACGAGTTCTGTCCTTGTGTGCGGCCTTAGCCCGGGCTCTGACCAGGCCACACCCCCAACATGTTTCACTCCACCCACAGAGCTTAGGGTCATAGTTCCCCCTTGGGCGGACTGCGTTGGGGTCCTGGCCTGGTTGGTGCACCTTCCAGAGATGAGCGACTTCCAGGACTTTTCCATTAGAAGTGTAGAGCTGGGACAAGTTCTGTCCTTGTGTGGGCGCCATGCGGTGCAGGACCTTCAGCGGCACCAATCAGTTTGGTTTGGATCTCATTCACCTTCTTACTTCTGGTGAGGAAGGAATCTGCGGGGGATGTCTCCTGATTGGACGGTGAGATGTAGGAGGTCTTTTCTGTTCAGCACATCAGTATCTGTCACTGAGGGAGAAGTCCGGTTTCAGGTGGGCTGACCTTCAGTGTAAAACACTGACACCGAGCTAGGTCCCCCTTCCTGCACCTAAA